CAAACATATTTGACATACCAAAGAAGGACCACGTTACGGGGCACGCTCCAACACGTGGTGAGTGGCTTCGATCAAGCGATAGCTTACAACCTATTCGCTAGGTCATCGATTATCGTTGCGTGAACAGCCAGACGAAAATTCCTAAGATTCCGCTTCCCCTTATCGAGGAGTTGTTTGATCGAATGTCGGGATGCTCTATTTTCACTGTAATTGACTTAGCACAAGGCAACCATCAAATGCTTGTCAACAATTTATGTCGCCAGTACACTGCTTTTCGTACGCATTAAGAAACATATCAGTGGTGCATTGCTCCGATGGGATTGGCAGGATTGCCGGGGGGTGGTCAAGACCATGCTAGTACTGTTCGACAAGTTTGATTTTGTGGTCGTCTACCTCGACGACATTTTCCTATTCTCCAAATTAAGATTGGATCATACCAAGCATCTTGGTGAGGTATTTCACGTGCTGCGTCAGGAGAAACTGTACGCTCACAGAGCCAAGTGCTCTTTTAGAAAAGACTGAGTCGACTTTCTAGGCCACACTGTAACGGGGTTACACGTCGACTGGTAGTCGACAATAGGTGTGGTGCACACAAGGGATGGGATCCCCTTTAAAAGTAATATTAGAACACAGTATTAATTGTTGAAGACTGATGTCTGTCAGCCATTGATTAAGAGATCTTTTGAGAGGTTTATTTAGGACATAAGTGAGTAGGTTATTTACTTTGTTCTAAGGTGTTATTTTAGGTTAAAAGAAGAAATAAAGTTCAGTTCCCATTTTGATCTGATAGACACGTGCCTCTTTGAGGCGTCTTGTGATCGCTGAGGAGATAGAAACGCCTTGTTAAGGTAGCTGCTCCTTGTGAACTCTGTGCGTAGATTCTATGAATCGCTTGGTCCCCCTGGAACAGGGACCGTAAGCTCTCTGAGAATGTTGACTCTTTGAGTCGGGTTCTTTGAACCAAATCTTAGCTCTCTCGAGCTGTTGCCTTTTTGATCGGGTTCGTAGAGCCAAAGTTGCTCGTTGAGCGTTAAAGTCTCCCTCTGACTATAGGAGCTGTATAGCTTCGCTACACACACCATCTCCGATTATGGCTTGAGTGTTGACAAGAGGAAAACTTCAGCGATTGAACAAATGAGGATACGTCACACGAGAAGGGAGCTTTTGAGATTTTTGGGGCTAGTGGTTACTACAGACGTTTTATATGCAACTTTGCAACAATCTCCCTTCCCCTAATTAAGATTTTCAAGAAAGACGCTTAATGGGAGTGGTCCGACGATCAAGACAAGGCATTTAGAGAGTTCAAGGTAGCGCTTCAGTAAGCGCCCGTTCTCCAGCTGCCTGATTTCTCGACTTCATGTGTTGTCACTACAGATGCATCGGGATGCTGCATGGGAGGCATACTCTTCCAGATCACCAAGGGTGAGGATCACCCTATTGCGTTCTTATCCAAGAAGTTCGGGCTATATGAACAAGGGTGGCCAGCTCACGAACAAGAATTACTGGCCATCAAGACTGCTCTGACCAAATGGCGACATTATCTTCATGGAAGCCCATTTGATGTCTTCACGGACAACAACGCGTGCCGTTGGATGCTTCATCATCCCAATGTCACACCAAAAATGGCACGCATGTTGACTTTTTTCTCGCACTTTGAGTTTACATTGCATAATGTCAAGGGTACGACAAATGTAGTTGACGATGCTCTGTTCCGACCAGGTGTCGAAGTTCGACTTTCTTAACCTATTCGTTTGTATATCTCTCAACTTCATGACTGTGATGCAAAGTGTGCTCACCTCGATAAGACTCTTCGTCGTCATGGTATGCAAATGGAATCATTATGCTATCTTTCTCGCCTTGACCAGAATCTACTTCTTGATGTGCGTGTCTTTCCGGGGCTGGGTTTGGCACACCAAGTCGGCGTATCTCAAGTACAGCACGTACATGTCCGTGATCAAGTCCATCGAGTTTGTTGTGTCAAGTATACATCTCTCGCCCACGGGTAAGGAAGTGTTTATGGTCGGCTACACCAAGGATCGGGAATTTAAGGACGTACTGCACAAGTAATACGTCAAGTACGTGAATAAGAATGGATTACTTGATGTCAAGACGAATCACGCTGTCGCTCGAATTTATGTACCAGCAGATGACCGACTAATTGCGGACATTCTCCGCGAGCACCATGATAGAAACACAGCATCACACCCAGGAACAGGTCGCACACAGCTAAAGATGGCGCAATGGTATTACTGGCCGAACTTATAATAAGACGTACGCGAATACGTCTCAAGCTGTGGCACCTGTGCGCGATGGAAAACGAGTACGCTAAAGAAAAATGGCAAACTTATGCCCATCCCAGTACCAAAGGATTGCTGGGACGTTGTTTCTATGGATTTCATAACGGGACTACCCGTGTAAAGCGAATTTGATGCCATTATGACAGTTGTTGACAAACTCTCAAAGCGGCCAAGGTCTGCTGCTACGCACACGAACACCGATGCACCGCAAATTGCAAGGCTATTTTTGATGTGGTCGTTTGCCATCACGGGTTACCAAAAGTCATCATAAGTGATCGGGATCCAAAGTTTACGTCAAACTTCTGGAAGTCACTCATGGCAATCATGGGAACCAAGCTTTCGATGACGACAGCGCACCGCGCGCAGGCTAACGGCCAAACGGACCGGCAGGATCTTATTTTAGAAGATGCAATGCGCTGCATGATATCTTATCATGAGGATGACTGGTCGAATCATTTCGGTAGGATAGAGTTTGCGCATGCTACGCTGGTATGCAAGTCCACACAGCTGTATCCTTTCGAAATCGACACAGGACGAAAGGTCAATAATGCTGTTGCAAGCGATTCCGGAGGAGCAGTAACGATACTTTGCTTAGCCGAATAGGCAAGGAAGTTCACTGACAAGAGGCAGAAGATCATCTAGTTGGCACGAACCAACTTACACAAAGCGCAGATAAAAAAGGAGTATTACGACAAGAAGCGAAGCAAGGTCACATTCAAAGTCGAAGACATAATATTGCTTGACGCCAGACATCTTGACCTGCGCCATCGCAATAATGGACAAGATGGAATGAAGTCGAAGTTATCAGCGAAAAAGATCGGACCGTTCAAGATTGAAGCGATGATTAACAGCAACGTGGCCAAATTAAATTTATCTCGAGCCCCCAGCAAATTGCACCCGAGCTTCAACGTCGATCTGCCGAGCCATTTCGTTCCCAACCTTCAAAGATACAATGGTCGGCCCATAACAAAGGCGGTTCCGGTAGTACTCGATGAAGAAACTGGTGACGAGCTCCACATCGTCGAAGCACTTATAAAAAACGCCTGTTTAACAAACAACCTGAATGTCTTGTCAAGTGGCACGGGCTGCCAGAGCACAAGAGTGCTTGGGAAAAAGAAAAGAACATCGGGCACGTGACACATTGGCAGTCGTTGGTACGAGACTTTACGGCCCGGCGACGCGAGATCTAGTCGGGGGTGTGTAGGGCTTTGATTGACTCTTCACGAGTCGCCGGTTTTACATAAATCAGCTCACGTCATCGTTATTGGATCAAGAAAGGAATCATGTCGTGAATCGGTTACAGATTCAGTAAAGAATAGAGCAATGTATGCAGCAGGCTTAGAATAGCACCGTGTGTGAACGAAAAACCTAATGAATTCACTTAAGATTTTACCGACAAAGCACCACAGTATTGCTATTTTTGAGCTTACTTGAGGTTCTGATCAGAAACGGCAGTAAGCGTGCACTCACTTGCTACAACCACTTGCTTCTGTACTGTTAAATCTACCTGTTCCGAGTTTTGCATGGCCCGCAAAGCGAAGGTTTGTGTGATGGTACGAGCGGGTGAGTGACAATGCAGACTTGCCTTGACAAGCCTAGATTGCTACGAGAAGCACTCGCGTCGAGAGCTTGCGATTTAATTCTTTGCAGTGCGTGTAGTGTATTGCGTATAAATTGCAACCTCAACGAAGCCTATATCGACGTCGTCAGCATGTTTCGGCTTGACGAGCAAACCTCAAGTCTTTTGGTTTTGAGTGGACCTGCATATGTTTGCATTGTGCCTCCCACTTAAAGTGCCGGTACAACCGTATACTTTCTATTGTGCCCACTTTGAGACCTTGAAAGCGTGCTCGTTAACAGGGCAAACGGCAGACATTGCGACGAGTGACTGATACACAAACTTGTTCTTCATCTGGCTCAGATTAGTACATGTTCGGCCGACGTTATAAATCTAGTTTGTATCGAATTGTCCTGCACCTACGACGTATTTTTTGATTACCCAAAACAATCAGAGCAAACTTCATCATTTTCACTCGACTACATGTAGTTTACTGACAAGCTTGACTTCATCTAAAATACCCACAAAAATTGCAGCGGTCGAACTTAGATCAATATTTACCCTGCTCCCCCAGACACAACTTTATGATGCGCATAACTCAATATTGGTGCACGCGATGACAACATTATCGTTGCATTTTAGACAGACATTCCCCAAACACAACCAGCTTACATACCCAATCGTGGCCCCAAAAGAGCCCATTTCAGGCGTAAGTGCTCAACCTTCTTCCACCCACCACACGCACACTTCCGTAAAAACCAGCACCCGCAGCTTCATCCACTCGATCTCGATCACCAAAGATGACACGAGTTTGTAGCCATCACTTCCTCCTCAACGCTCGGCCACATTGCAGACTGTATAGTCAAGTCCAGCAAGGCCGGCGACTTACGGTAACGTCTACCCCGTCCACGCGCGTGGTTTCGCTCTGAAGCTCACAGCTGCTTGCACTTGTTGCAGTAGCAGTTCACTGTCGTCCATCGATATCGAGCTCTCCCTACCACGAGGTTTGTTCACCTGACACCCCTCATGCAGACGTAAACGTGAGGTACCAACTACACCCACTCGCGAGGTCAGACACACGGTAAAAACAAACGTCTTGCACAGCTTCCACAACCAAAGCCAAAGTTTGCAGCACAGCACTTAGTCTACACAAAGCACGACGAGATGCGAATCGCTTCAATCCACTCGCGCGCGTGCGAAACGCGCGCGTACACCATCGGCAAACTTATCCCGCGGCCGCACGCTTCGCCGTAGCGCTCGTCGCGCCAACTGACGACCCCAACGACCACATCGTCGGCGTCATCGCCCGACGACTCGATGAAGACGGGACTCCCGAAGTCGCCGTTGCAGAACCCTTTGCTGATCTGACCCGCGACGCACATCATTGACTTGTCCACACTAATGCGACCGGCTTTCCGGCACTCTCTGTTCGTGATAAGCGTCGAGTTTACGCGCTGGAGCTCGTACCCCACTTGAGCTGCTGGGCCTTCCGACAAGTTCCCGTTGCCAATAGTAGTCACTGTAGCACCGGCCTCAAAGTCCGAATCGTCGGCTTCTGCGAGCTTCGGGTACTTGATCGACGACGCGACCTCGAGCTCCAAGATGGCAAAGTCGTTGGAGAACTTGAGGGGCTCCGTGAAGTTCGGGTGGTTGATGACCGACACGACTTTGATCTGCTCGCCGTCGAGGGTCCCGTTGTTGTAGTGCGAGCCAATGGAGACCCAGCGGAGGTCGAACACGGTGCAGTGCGACGCCGTGAGCACGTGTTTGGGGCCGATCAGAGCCCCACCGCAGAGGTTCTTGCCCTTCCTGGTATGGCGCACACCAGCGTAGTACGACTTCCTGCCTTTCGGTACCGTGGTGCCACCAAGGATCAGCCTGCGCTGCACAGCATCAGAGACGGCGTGCGTGGGTACGACGGTGGCCAGCAGAGCAGTGAGCCCTGCAACAAACGCTCGTGCGCACTTCATCGCACGAGCGGTCACGGACGCGAGGAGACGCACAGAGTGCAAATCAACAAATGGAGGGCTGCTGGGGCTATACGGCACGCAGGCCATGCCACGGCAGGACGTGCTGTTCTGCTGGTGGTTCGAGCAAGAAAAAGCCAGCCGCGTGGAGAAACAGGTTTTCTTCGCGATGGGCGCGGTCAGACACGTCGATAATGGCCACCAAGATCGGCCAGCTCGTCTTCCCACAAGCAGAGCTTCAAGAGCATCGCGTCACAGCTCCAGCCGAGCAAATCCATCTGCGCTCTTCGATACGGGTTACACGAAGATGCGCTCACTGAGCGGAGCTCCCCACTTGGTCGAAAGCAGGTGAGTTGCTCGTGTCAAAAGCCCGTAGAAACCCGCACACCACTCGCACTGCGAGTTCCAAGTCACTCTTTCGTGGTACGTCTCCAAAGTCAGCACGAAGCCGGTTCTCCATCTCGTTGCCCTTGCAACGCACGACGTGGGCAGAACTTCAAGGAGGTCTCCTGCGCTGTCGTTGTACGCCAAAGCTGAGGAAGAGGGGCGTGAGTCCGTCCACGTGACATTTCGACAGTGTCCAGCGTGACTTCCTGAACTATGCCATACACACCAAAGGCGGTCCATCACGCACGAGATCTCGTGACTCTTCCAGACAACGCTACCGACTCCACTTAGCAATAGGAGTGCTACATGCATCGCCTCCATCCACTCTCGTGAACTCATTCTTCAGTCCTTACGGCCCAAACTTCGTCGAAAGCGTTCGCCTCGGCGTCGTGTTGACAGGTCTCGTTTTTGGTCTACTTGCAGTTGACACACGAAGAGAGACATTCGGAACCTGTGCACAGACACAGAGTTCACCTTCCTGCACGTAAACGGACCACCTCCTGGTGCATGGGACTTGAAGCTCGAGCGGGATCCACGTGCACAACCCCACCGTGGTCACGCGGGGGTGTGACACTGGTCCGGTTCGCAGAAACTGGTCACGAGCGGCAACGCCTCCTGCTGCACGCCGCGAACGCCGACGCCTCTCTCTGGTTTCTTTCCAGCCGGCGTCGCAGGATCAGGTCACCTCTGTCTCTGTCCGCGTCCGACTCAGCAGCACGTACGCGTCTCGTCCTTCAGCCGCTCCACAGCGACTGCATTTGCGAATTTCGCGAGCCACAAGTGCTTACTCGGCCGCCAACACCGCCCCGTCATGATGACCTCTGCAGTCCATCTCGTGACGCAATGTACCGTCCTCCTCCTCGTCTTTGCTCTGCCGTTGTTGGATGCTCAGCCCACACCTTCCGGTCTTACCAGCGACCGCCGCACCATTCAGACTGCGGCATATGAAAAGGGCATCGGGTACGTCGCCGGCATTCGCTCGACGAAAGACGGCGTGAACTTCTGTGCCGGAGCTCTCGTTGGTCCGTCCCACGTCTTGACGCGCACGAGCTGCATCGTCGAGAACATCCGCTGGGTGTCGCTGGGCTCGACCGCCAATAGCGGCGCGAAGGACGGCGAGCAGATCAAAGTCGTGGCGCTGTTGCCGCACCCGAACAACTCGGCGAGCCACAACGACCTGCTCCTCTTGGAGCTGGACGTGGAGACGACCATTGCGCCCGTGCAGCTGGACGCCGCTGACTCGATCGTCACGCCCGGCATGAAAGGCGGTCGCCTTGGCTGGAACGACACCTTGGCGCAGGCCGTGCAGTCGCGCTACTTGCAGAGCGTCGAGGTCGAGTTCGTGAGCAACGACCAGTGTGGAGCGGAACTGGCCGTAGATGCCACAATACTGTGCTCGCGAGGCGTGTCGACCGCCAAGTCGTGCATGGGCGACAAAGGCGGCGCTGTCGTCGCGAAGGACAAGGACCAGGACGACGATGTGCTCGTGGGGCTCGTGACGCAGCACAAGGGCTGCGGAAAGGTCGGCGGCACGAGCGTCTACACCCGCATCGCACCTGCGCGTCCGTGGATCGACTCGATCATCAAGAGCTACTGCGTCTCCTAGTGCACTACCAACCACAACGTCTTCTAGTAGTGCAACTATAACATCAATAACAACAACAACAACAACAACAACAACAACAACAACAACAACAACAACAACAACAACAACAACAACAACAACAACAACTGGAGACGCGTCGTTTTTGCAATAGGGCGTGCGTGGCCGTTTCGGTAATAGTAGCCCTCCAGTCGAATGCCTGTGTTCACCTGCAGGTGCTGCGTCCTGTAACATGGATACACACACACACAAAGCAGCAGTACGTGCAACATCAGCGCTGCGTCACTTGACACTGCGACAAGTGTTCACAGCGAAAGTAGACCGCGACCAACACCGCCGAGCGACCATATACCCAGGCTCACCCCCCTCTTGTTAACGACGCAAGAAACACAAACACACACACAAACACACACACACACACATCCATGTCCCAACCCTCGCACACCGACATCTCTTCGTGCGACATCCGAGGCCATATCCTGTCAGTTCTTATACCCTCTGCTCCCATTGTCTCTCTCTCTCGCTCACGCACTCACTCGCTCACGCACTCACTCACTCACGCACTCACTCGCTATTGCCAATGGACACAGACGACGGCGCGTCACGCCCCTTCGGCATGATCCCCGACATCCTACTGGACGAAGACCGCCTCAACATGCTCCTGGACATCGTCTGCGCCGACTACATCACCGCGTGCTACGCCAGCCACGAGAACGGCAAGCGCGTCGTGCTCCAGGCGCTCGAGAAGCTCTACCTCTCGGTCCACGCGAACGGCTCTGTCTCGCGCTCCAGCACAGGAGGCGCTGCGCCTGCAACAGCGTCGCACGCGGTGCACCGCGTGGGCGCGCGACCGGCTCAGGACGCGCTGTTCCAAGAGCGCGCGCGCAGGTTCTACCAGGACCTCGTGCTGGCGCTCGGTGCCCGGCAGCAACAGGCGGACGACGCAGCGCTCGAGCCAGCGACGGGGTCGGTAGTGACCTCGTCACTCGCCCGAGGGCTCGACGAGAGCCTCGTGCGCGAAGTCATGAAGCCGCGACTGTTGCAGATTGTCGAAGAAATGTGCCGCGAACGGGACCGGCAGCTCGTGCTGACGAGTGAAGGGGCTACATTTTCAGGACATAGCGGTGCTGCCGGTAGTAGTGCGGCTGCAATGGCAGGAGAGACGGGGGTAGCTGACGAAACAGACGTGGCAGCAGTTGCAGCTGCGTTGCTGCCGACGGCGAGCAGCGAGATTCGGATGGAAGGATGGCTTCGAAAGAAGGGGCAGCACGTGAACCTGTGGCGCGAACGGTACTTTATGATCCGCTCGACGCTCCATGGGACGCACTTTCTGTGCTACTTGCGCAAAAAAGGCGACAAGGAGCCGCGTGGGTGGTACGTACTGGGACCGGGCACGACCGTGGACGAAGTGCGGGAGTCGCCGAGCAAAATTGAGACCAAACGGCTGTTTACATTTCGGATCCGGCACTTGAACTACGCCAAGAACGACGAGGTGTCGGAAGAGTGTGGCGGTGGTGTCGAATCGACCCCGCGGACGACGCCATCGCGCCCTGGCAACGAGTTTCAGTCGTCGCTAATGGACCCAACGATCGGCTCACACGACGCTGAATTTGATGCACGGGCAAGTGTCAGACGTGCCACGTCGCGGAAGCTCCGACATCGCGCTGCCGCAGCGGCTGCAGCAGCCACAGCGGCAACTGCTGTGGTGCTGACAGGTGGTCTGGCCGGTGTTGGGATTGGTATGATGGGCATGAGCATGAGCGCAGCGGCCGCTGCTAGTGCTGGTGCGGCTGGTGCAATGATTGCCCAAAGCCGCAGCAAGGGTCCCATCGCCCTTGCTGCTGAATCTCTAGAGACTGCAGTGTGGTGGCGCAACAGCATTCTCGAGTGTATTGCACAGGCCGAAGAGCAGTGGAAGCGCTACTTGAACTGGTACATGGACCACGAAACCGACATGGACGAAGCGTGCAGCACCTTTTTGCCTGAAAATAGGCAGCAAGGCTCTACAGCGCCGACGAGCGGTGTCAGAAGACGTCGGTCGATGTCGCTGCAGTCGCACGGAAAGGCTGCGCCACCGGCGCGTAATTCAGAAAGCAGTCAGCAGCCGGGGCTACTTGCACCTCGAATGGGAACCAGACAGCGGTCGGGATCATTTGGGTCGATGCCAAGATCGATCGCTAAGACCTTCCGTACATCTGCAACGTTCTCGCAAGAAACGTCGTGGCAATTGTACGAGTTCTCAGACAAGCTGCGTGTTGACACCGAGCGCTCGAGCCACCAAAGCAGCCTGCGAACTTCTGCGCCCCCGCCAGCATTTCGTACGAGTCTGAAAGTGAACGCGTCGCCTCGGAAGGTGTTCGAGATGCTGATGAAGATGGACAGTCCTTTTTACAGCTCGAATCACGTGATCGAAGACGCGCGCATCCTAGAGGAGCACACGGAAGACCACAGCGACGTGATTTACTGGAAGCTTTTCTCAACGTACCTGTGGCCAGTTTCCGTAAGCGCTCGCGAGCTATGCTTGTTGCGCTACTGGCGCATGGAACCCGATGGCTCCTATTTTATCTGTTATCAGTCCACGACACATGCAGACTGTCCTCATAGCACTGGAGCAGTCCGTGCAAACATCCTGGGCGGCGGTTTCATCATCTCACCGCGCGTGCAAGAGGACAGTGACAACCACTTTGACGAGTGTTGGGTGACGTTAGCAATTCAGATGAATCCGAATGGCTGGATCGATTGGACGCTAGCGCGTTCATGGTACTACGTGCATGCTTATGGTGTATTTTTCCTGGAAATGATCACGGCCGTCACAGCGGCAGAAGGAAGGGGGACGGTGCGGCCAGTGACTGCTGCGTCGGACCGCCATCGAGCGAATGATGGCAGTGAGTCATCTGCACCGAGCCAACAGATTGTGGTCGAAACGAAGTTTTCGATGCTAGAAAGGTACCGCACTGACCTCACGGTGCTGCACGGACTGCCAACCCGATTTTGGAGTGAACCGAGCGCTGCAGGCTTTATGGTGCGCGGACCGCAATACATGACCTCCCGGATGAAAGTGCCGTCGGCTCCGCAGATATGTCGTCTCGTGAATGTGGAGTTGTTCAAGTCCAGTGAGGCCATTGAGCACGTCGGGGTCTCTTCTTTCGTCGGGGACGGATCTGGTGATCTCGACACGGCCAATCCTGCTGCGGAAGACCGGCCATTCATCTTCATTATCAATTTTATGCTTCCCGGTCCCCCACATCACTCTCTCGTGCTGTACTTCGCAGTAACAGATCCGTCGGAGCTGGATAAGGACCCGGTGTTTGCCGACCTGTGCCACGACATTTTCCGCGGACCCGATGACGAATTGCGATCACAGCGCATAAAGCTGATTCCACGCGTGGTGCAAGGTACGTGGTCTATTCGCGAGGGTGTGGGCACCACGCCAGCCATCTTGGGCACAAAGGTGTATCAGAACTACTACCAGGGCAAGCACTACTTGGAAGTGGACTACGACATTGGCAGCAGCATAGTGGCCACAGGCATCCTGAACATGTTACTGGGCTACTCTTGTGACCTCATCATTGACTTGGCGTTCGTGATTGAGGCACAGAGCGTCTCGGAACTGCCGGAGCGTGTGTTGGGCACAGTGCGTCTGGACTGTATTGACTTGGGTCATGCTGTGCCATTCAGGAGGAAATGAGCAAGAACAGGAGGAAGTAAGAAGGCTGGATCAGAATGGACACGAACGCAGACAAGCCACTCGATGAAGGAGACAAGCAGTGTAGCAGGCGACCAACTGCTTGTATAGTCGGCCGTTTTCCGTGGTCTCTTCGCGGCTACGTTTAGCGCGGCAGCGGCTGAGACAGCATGGGTACCTGTATCTACGGTGCCGAGTCCTGCGTAAAATGTCACGTCGAAGATCGTCCATTGGAACCTGGCTCATTGATGTCGTGGCTGGTGGTGGGGCTGCCTCGCTCAAGTTTGAAGACACACAAGGCTCGTTCAAGTTCCGTTCACGAGTGGATGCTACATTTTGTCCGACGTTGCGGGATGTATCGCAATGCGTACCTTACAATGGATCGTGGTGGCAGGCGCTAGACACGAATGGCAACCATGTGAGATGTGATATTACTCGAGTAGAAGTTGGCATCGTCGGGTTTGGTGACGCGATACGATGCTGGGTTGGTGCTTTTGGTCCTTGCAGAGCTGCCGTGCGAACTGTGTTGCAAGAGTCGAAGACACGTCCGACGTGAAGTGCGGGTTCACCGGCGCTGATGAAAGATGCGAAAACATTGCCGTGCATGACGCAGCTGGCTCGATTCGAGATGTGCTGGGTTGAGGATGACGGCGGTTTGTATCATGGCTAGTGCCGCAGAGAATGATGAGTGAGCTTCCTGAGCTCGGGACGTATCTTGTCGAAGAGTGTTTGGTGATACATCGCACGGAATGTGAGGAGACTTGTCCACAGCTTTACTACGTCGAGTCCGGTGGTCCACGCGCCAAGTGGACTCGCTGCTCACTTGTTATTTGTTGCTCGACGACGCTCGGCCAGATGTTGTGGGTTCCGTCGTGTACGCACGTGTGCTCAACCTTCGTGACCATTCTTGTCTACGGTCTCACTGTCCCCGCTGTCTGGCGCAAGTGGCTTTCGATTCGTACACACACGAGCTGTGGTATCTCTGGCGTCGGGTCTGGATGCTCGTTGGTGTTCGCTGCTGTCTTCGTGCAAGACGCTATGGTGCTGTCTTCGTTGACCGACGACACCCGTCAGAAGATTAGTGTTTGTCGACCACGCGCTGTATGGCATGCCAGACCAGACCATAGCTGTGTGTCCGAGGGGCTTAACCATCGGAACGGAAGCCTGTTCTCTGGACTAGTCCGTCATTACTCATCTACCTCGAGTCGTCCAAGTCAGACACGTCCAGCACCTTGTGCCTGCGTCGTCGGACTCTGCATCGAGTCCATCATCGTGAGTGTACGTATGGCAGTTGTTGCGTCTTCCAGTGCAGCAGCTATCCCCTTCACGACGCGTCTCCGAGAGAGATACACACAAGAAAGAACCAAAGAGAAGAGGCGAGTCACAAGTCCCCATCGACCGCTCGTTTGTTCGTGCAGCCACAGCTTTAAGCCCCACCTGAGACAAACGCGTACCGCGTCTCTGCTTCCTGGCCACACACACACGCGTCCAGACGCCTCCTACCACCACAACTCTCTCCTCACCGCTCCCTACGACACGCGTCGCCCCTTCAAGTTGCATGGCACAAACTCACGTGAGCCATAGCGCTTCAACTCACCGGCTCGTCAACGACCTCCTCCGCCACTCGGTCCATCTTCTGTCCACCTGTCCGTCCACCTCTCGTCCCCGTTGCCCGCCTACACCAGCGTCTTGTCCCCCTTGTGCGCGTCCTTCTTGCCGTCCGCGTGCTGGCCGTGTCCCTTGGCCTGACCGCTCTGCTTGGCGAGAAACCCCTCAGCCTTCTCGACGGCCTTCTCGATCGCCGACGTGTTCCTCTTTGCCGCGTCGCCCGACTGCTGCGGCGCGTGGCCGTGTGCGGTCCCCCGTTTCTGCACAAACTCGGCGATCTTTTCCTTCGCGTGGTACTTCTCGGCCGCGTCGGCCGCTTTGGCCAACACAGAGCCACCGGCAGTGGCTTTGCCCTTCTCCTTCGTCTCCGTCTGCTTGTGGTGGTCCGTCTGCTTGTGGCCTTTGCCCGCGTCGCCCCCGGCGTACTGCTCGGCGGCGCGCTTGGCTTTGCTCAAGAAGTCCATTGCGCGCGGCAGTCAGTCCGTGCACTGAAGCGCAGGTGGGGCGGCGCCGACCGAAGACAAGTGACCGCCCGCGGCCGTCTTGCGCCACAGGAGGCGACAAATCGCCAGAGCGCGCGCAGGTGCGTCGGCGGCGAAGGCGGTTGCGGTCGGGCAGTTCGGGGCCCGCGACGGACCGCTCGACCAATCAACGGGCAGGTCGGGGCCCGCGACGGACCGCTCGACCAATCAACGGGCAGGTCGGGGCCCGCGACGGACCGCTCGACCAATCAACGGGCAGGTCGGGGCCCGTGACGGACCCCATGGCGAACAGCTGCGAGTGCGTCGAGACAAACGCACTTAGCGACGCTGTCCATCGGTCGGCCAAAGAAGCGACAAACGAGACGCAGTATTTGCACGAAAGACACAAAGTAGACGTGTGTTGACATTTGCCACAGTGCCCCACTACGACTGCCCACTGCCGCTTTGATTCCTTCTGTTGACTCGTTTACGACCGCTACGTCCGCTCCTACCGCAGCCCGTGCCGTGTGCCTCGTCCAGCGCTCCGCCACCAACGACGTCCCGTCCTCTTCGTACGGCCACTGGTGCGTAACCCGTTCCGCCCGCGTCGGCTGCGGCCTTAGCCCTGTGCGCGCGACGAGTGGTACGTCGGGTTGTTCGGGTTCAGCTGATTCGAGCGGTTGTCCGCTGCCGCTCGAGAGACTCCGCCTCCTCCGCCGCCACTGCTGCTCGACCCACTGGACCCCTTTCCGCCCGAACCACCGCCTTTGGCTGCTCCACTGCCGCTGCCTTTGGCCATTTTTGCTTTACTGGAGTGTGTGCTGTGTGTGTGTGTGTGTTGCGTGGGTCCTTTCGATCCGATTCAACTGTGAACAACGGAGCGCATGTGGTGCCAATGGCGCACACGACAGTTGGGTATCGCCGTTGTAGCTGATGAGGTATATAGGGCGTTCGGTAGCTGGCGACAGCTTCGGGCGATGCCGCCGTTGCTGGTTGAATGACTCGCCCAACGAAGAGATGACACGAGTGGTCGTGGAACCCAACTGGCCGGTCCAACTGCCACTGGTCGGGGCCTATGAATCAATCACTGAACCTCAATGACCTCCAACGGCAGTGTCCGCAACAACGGATCGAGACCAACCGGAGCGACTCGTGTCATCTCTGAGGATACAGTCGAAGAAGACGAGAAAGGATGGCTGGCATCATCCGCGTTGATCGCTGCTTAACGGTGGGATGAGCAAGCGCTCGAGATTGGCCGTTGATGAGTGTCGAGATGGGTTCTCTTTTGTCGACTCTCTTCGTGCTATTATCAAGAATCGTGTTGTCCTAAAAGAAATAGGAGATACAGTACCAAAGAGGCAGGAAAATAGAAACAAGGCACAAGAGGAGATAAAATTTAGTTTTAACAATGAACAAGATATAAATATGCACATGTAGTGGATCTTTCATGCTTGATCAAGAAATGGTTAGAATTCATGCACAAATATTGGCTTTGTTGTTGTGGGCGCAGATAGAAGGGCTGTGTTGAGAAAAAGCTCCATAATGAAGTGTCAGAAATTAATTTACCATCAGTTACGTGGACTGAGAGAAGCGAGGTATCAACGCCCGTATGCGTAATGTCCTCCGCTGATGATAACAATATTGCATCTACATTCACAGCTACAAGACGGACGTACTCAGATTAAAATCAGTACTAGTAATATCGTTCTTTGACCATCTGTTTGAACAGCATTGCACCATTTTGACACTGCGCTATCCTATAGCCGTGTCAAAATATTGACACCGCCATGGCGATAGATGCACATTGTTCTAGTGCCACATAATAGGATCTAGATGAAAGAGATACGAGCAATAATGTCTTCACTTTTACCTACGATCCGAAAACTCTGCCGTCACACGCTGGAAGGGTCTTCACACTACTTCCTCCTCGTGTAAGTAATTGCTGACAGATGTAGATGATATTGCGTATGATTTTTCTGATAATTGTAGTAAGAGAGAACACGTAAAGAACTGTGAAAATGTAAGAATGCATCTAAGATTGTGCATGTGTTCGGTCTCATAAATGCATTGGAAATGCATCCGATAAATTCACACAATTCTTAATAATGACACGAAGAGAGTCAACACAAGCGATCAACGCGGATGATACCAGCCATCCTTTCTCGTCTTCTTCGACTGTATCCTCAGAGATGACACGAGTCGCTCCGGTTGGTCTCGATCCGTTGTTGCGGACACTGCCGTTGGAGGTCATTGAGGTTCAGTGATTGATTCATAGGCCCCGACCAGTGGCAGTTGGACCGGCCAGTTGGGTTCCACGACCACTCGTGTCATCTCTTCGTTGGGCGAGTCATTCAACCAGCAACGGCGGCATCGCCCGAAGCTGTCGCCAGCTACCGAACGCCCTATATACCTCATCAGCTACAACGGCGATACCCAACTGTCGTGTGCGCCATTGGCACCACATGCGCTCCGTTGTTCACAGTTGAATCGGATCGAAAGGACCCACGCAACACACACACACACACGCACACACTCCAGTAAAGCAAAAATGGCCAAAGGCAGCGGCAGTGGAGCAGCCAAAGGCGGTGGTTCGGGCGGAAAGGGGTCCAGTGGGTCGAGCAGCAGTGGCGGCGGAGGAGGCGGAGTCTCTCGAGCGGCAGCGGACAACCGCTCGAACCAGCTGAACCCGAACAACCCGACGTACCACTCGTCGCGCGCACAGGGCTAAGGCCGCAGCCGACGCGGGCGGAACGGGTTACGCACCAGTGGCCGTCCGAAGAGGACGGGACGTCGTTGGTGGCGGAGCGCTGGACGAGGCACACGGCACGGGCTGCGGTAGGAGCGGACGTAGCGGTCGTAAACGAGTCAACAGAAGGAATCAAAGCGGCAGTGGGCAGTCGTAGTGGGGCACTGTGGCAAATGTCAACACACGTCTACTTTGTGTCTTTCGTGCAAATACTGCGTCTCGTTTGTCGCTTCTTTGGCCGACCGATGGACAGCGTCGCTAAGTGCGTTTGTCTCGACGCACTCGCAGCTGTTCGCCATGGGGTCCGTCACGGGCCCCGACCTGCCCGTTGATTGGTCGAGCGGTCCGTCGCGGGCCCCGACCTGCCCGTTGATTGGTCGAGCGGTCCGTCGCGGGCCCCGACCTGCCCGTTGATTGGTCGAGCGGTCCGTCGCGGGCCCCGACCTGCCCGTTGATTGGTCGAGCGGTCCGTCGCGGGCCCCGACCTGCCCGTTGATTGGTCGAGCGGTCCGTCGCGGGCCCCGACCTGCCCGTTGATTGGTCGAGCGGTCCGTCGCGGGCCCCGAACTGCCCGACCGCAACCGCCTTCGCCGCCGACGCACCTGCGCGCGCTCTGGCGATTTGTCGCCTCCTGTGGCGCAAGACGGCCGCGGGCGGTCACTTGTCTTCGGTCGGCGCCGCCCCACCTGCGCTTCAGTGCACGGACTGACTGCCGCGCGCAATGGACTTCTTGAGCAAAGCCAAGCGCGCCGCCGAGCAGTACGCCGGGGGCGACGCGGGCAAAGGCCACAAGCAGACGGACCACCACAAGCAGACGGAGACGAAGGAGAAGGGCAAAGCCACTGCCGGTGGCTCTGTGTTGGCCAAAGCGGCCGACGCGGCCGAGAAGTACCACGCGAAGGAAAAGATCGCCGAGTTTGTGCAGAAACGGGGGACCGCACACGGCCACGCGCCGCAGCAGTCGGGCGACGGGGCAAAGAGGGACACGTCGGCGATCGAGAAGGCCGTCGAGAAGGCTGAGGGGTTTCTCGCCAAGCAGAGCGGTCAGGCCAAGGGACACGGCCAGCACGCGGACGGCAAGAAGGACGCGCACAAGGGGGACAAGACGCTGGTGTAGGCGGGCAACGGGGACGAGAGGTGGACGGACAGGTGGACAGAAGATGGACCGAGTGGCGGAGGAGGTCGTTGACGAGCCGGTGAGTTGAAGCGCTATGGCTCACGTGAGTTTGTGCCATGCAACTTGAAGGGGCGACGCGTGTCGTAGGGAGCGGTGAGGAGAGAGTTGTGGTGGTAGGAGGCGTCTGGACGCGTGTGTGTGTGGCCAGGAAGCAGAGACGCGGTACGCGTTTGTCTCAGGTGGGGCTTAAAGCTGTGGCTGCACGAACAAACGAGCGGTCGATCGAGACGCTGTCAATGACAACAGCAACGGATCACTCAGGTACACTTTTGACTTTGATGCAGCTCCAAATGACCTCTCGCGACGCACCGACCGCCTTCGGGTCGATCCCGTCAATGCGAACCCCACCTCGTTACATTGAAAACGTTGCACTACACTTCTCACTCGCTCCCTTCATTCCTGTTGCAGCTCTCGACGACGACGACGACGACCACAACGACGCGCCGTTCAGCACTTGTTCTTCTACGACGAAATGACAATCTCTTCCATGAGCGTCAAGTTCTTTGCAATGCCTTCGGCGCCGCTCACGAGACAATTCAGCAGCAACATCTCCTCCATTGTCACGCGCATGAACCGACGGTCCTCCATCAACCACTCGACGTACGTCGCCTTCATCTGCGCGGCAATGTCACTCGTTGTAAAGTCCTCGACGTTCAGCACGTCGTGCTCACGACGAATGGGCGACAGTGCCGCAGTCGACGCGAGTTTCAGGAACCCCGACGTCCGCTTGGGCGTATTCCGGACCGACGACGCCGTCGAGACGCGGTCGCCTCGGAGCGGTTTGTACGTCCCCGACGCACTGCCCGTAGCTTTCGACGCACTGCCCGTTCCGTTCGACGACGTGGCACTGCACGACAGGGCATCGCCGTCTTCATTCACACGGGCCAAGACGGTATGCACGCGGGCTGTCTTTGGTTTCCGACGATGGTACACTTCGACCTCGAGCTTCAACCCGTCTTCGAGCGCGGCCATGAACTCTTCGAACGAGACCTTTCCACTGCAGTCCTTGTCGACAATGGCCATAAAGTCCGACACGTACGTCGATATGTCCTCCTGCTTGACAGCTCCTGACTGTGCAAAGATCGTCTCGAGCATCACCGCCACCTCATCGGCATCGATCTCACCGCTGCAGTCCTTGTCCGCAACTCGAAACGCCTCTTTCATCTGCATGAAAATCGCCGTCTGCTCCGGGTCCGAGTACAGGAACGACTCGCCAAAGAGCATCTGCAGCGTATTGAACGTGTCGTCGACCGAAGACAGGAACTGTTTGCTGGCCTTCTGCCACCGCATGTGCGTCGAGGGGCCGCCATTTGGACCGAACCCACGCGCATTGTCAGCACTCACGTCGCGAATGTCAATCGCATTCGCGAGCGTCAGGTGCTGCTTGACGCGGTAGTTGTACCAGCGCACGAGTTTGAACAGTAAGTTGTTGTTGTTCAGCAGGCGGTGGCTGCTGCTGAGCACGGCCTCGTACTTCTGCTTGGAGAACGTGGGGCGCCACATCTGGGGCTCGGCTTGCGCTTCGTGCAGCAGCGCCTGCTGCTCGACGAGCTTCGCCGGGATCTGCACTTGGAGCACGTCGCGCACGGTTTCCATCGTCTCGTCACTCAGTTGCCCCGAACTCGAGAGGTGGTGGCCGAAGAGCGTCCCGAACGCCTCTTGCTGCAGCTTGAGCGTCTGCTGGATGTTCTTGCGCAGCAAACTCGTGGCGCTCTCGGGGCACATGGCCATCTCCACGACAATGAACAGCACGAGGCCGACGGACGTTTGCGCGAGGCTCGAGTACGAGTTGATGGAGATCGTCAACGAGCTGTCGGATCCGTTCGTGTAGCACACGTCCGACTGACGGAGCAGGATGCCCGCCGAGATGAAGGCCGACACTAAGCCCGCGTACGAGCTGTAGCCGCCTGCGAACTTCACGTACATGGACACGGTAACCCAAACGAAGAGCAGCACGTCGGACAGGAACACGTTCAGGAAGCGCGGGTTGCACACTTGGGAGATGAAGAACTGGAAGACCGAAGGAATGACACTGCCGGCGACGACACCGCCCACGCGGTTCACCGTGACGCTGAAGGAGCCTCCAATGTGGTTCCCCATCACGTACGCGACGGCCGAAGGGGTCGTCGAGCTGAAGCCGTAAATGTACACGCCCAGGAACACGCCCATGACGATCGCAACTGACACGCGCGCAGCTTCGAGGAAAAGCGACCGCGTGTACCGATGCGTCACGAAAGCGTTCTTGATCGACTGCACGAGGAACGACTGGGCACGGCGACCGCCGTGAAAGTCCTTCTTGTTGTGCGTGTCTTGGAACTCGATCAACGTGCTGCAGAACGAGTTGAGTGAGAAGAGGAAGAGGTTGAGCGGGACGTTGCCCTCGACGTCTTTCAGCTTGACCTGTTGCGACTGCAATAGCCGAATCTGCGCTTCGCGATACCGACGCAACGTGTCTTCCATCTGACTCTGGAGCTGCTGAATCCGTTGCAGGTCGAGCTCTGTCATATCAACCAGCGACAGCAGTCACGTGCATGAGCATACCCCGTCACGCAATTCAATCGCAGACAACAACAACAGCAACAACAACAACAACAACAACACACAGCACTTACGTTCGGATGACGCGTGGACTTCGCCCGATATCTCGTGCAACAGGTCCCCCGAGCGCATCTGAATGACGTAAATCTCGCGCTGCAGGACCTTCATGTACATGAAGTGCAGGCTGTCGTACTGCTCGAGTTGCATGGCATTGTTCAGCGATCGCAGGTCCGCCAGCAGAGACGCAATGAGCCGCACGTATCCCTTCGACACGGAGCGATTGAACTTGAACAAGAGGTGGAAACCAAAGAGCTGTTCCCACCAGACATTGTCCAGGAGCGCAATCATCCGACGTTGGCGTGCGGCCGCAGCTGCAAACTTGCGCTGGAGCTTCAGCTTGAGAAAGTTCATGTGATCGACGTTCTTGTTCTTGAAGCAGTACGAGTCGACAATGACGTTCAGGAGATCCAGGACATCGCCAGACGCTTTCGTGGTCTCGTCCCGCAGCTTTGCGATAGCACTGTGCACACGTCGACAATGAGCGACGTCCAGCTACGCAATGAGCGAACGAAAGACGGGAGCGAGCGCAGGTACGTACAATATGGGATACGGGATGAACATAATGAGCAGCGACAGGAGCGTCCCGCCAAAGCCCACCAAGAAGTACATTGCCAAGTTGTGCAGGATATTGCTCGGCTCGAAGTATGTGTCACCGGTGGCTTTCAACTTGGACGAGTCGAGCGGATCCGTTGGATTGATGATCGTTAGCGCTGCAGTCGACACGCAACACGAGCGAGTGTCAACCATAGGATCCCCGAAACTACCAACTTGACGCGAAGCCAGTGTACGTACTGAAGTAGAGGTTGTTACCCAGGGCGAACTTCTTCGTGTTGCTCTCGAGCGGAGACAGCAGGATCGCAACGGTGAAGATCACGATCCACGGCAACACGGCGTAGAAGTTGCGTGAGTGAACATAGTACTCGGAGCCTCCGAACGCCATCTTGTCCGAGATCAGGAGGTACCCGTCGTACGAGTTGTCAAACGTGCGCACGTCGGTGAACGAAAAGAGCACGAGGTTGTACACGAGCGCCATTCCCACGCCGTAGAACGCCTGGCAGACTTCAGTCAGCGTCGCGCCCACGTTCTTACCTGCTGAGAAGATGACAGCCACTGCGCAGTAGCTGAGACCGCCGAGGTAGTACCAGTCAGGGAACAACAGCCACTTCTTGTCGTGCTCCTTACTCGGGTCGTAGTGCGGATCCCGCGTCTGGATGAACGATGCAATGATAACACCACAGGCGACGCGAAGCGACAGCTCGGCGTTGAACCGGAATTCAGCTACACAAGAGGCGAAGCAGAAGCAGAGGATGAAAGCAGAGCGTCAGGTGTCAGTGCGAAACGAGAAGAGCGCTTGCAAGAAGAACCCGACGACGGAGAGACACTAACAGGAAAACATTTGCGCCTTCGTCGACTTCTTCTGGTCTTCGTCCATGTCAATGTGCAGGTTCGCGCCCTTGTCGTTGAAGTCCTCGCTACCGTTCAGGTTCGTCGACAGGCGCACGAGCACCGGACTGGCAATGCCATTGTACTGCCCCTCGTTCAACAGGACCATACTCGCACTAGGAACGCAACATCACAAGACACACATATCGGTGAGCTCTACAAAGCGACACAACATGCACCCGACCGCTGCTACATTTGTGTTGACGCACTCTCTCTCGCTTCTGGACGCGCTTTGCCGCGCATGGCTGAGACCTTCCGGCATGGACAGAACTAGGGACTTGACGCTTCAAAGTCGAGAGGCGATGGACCAGACTTCCAGTGCGATTGCTATGATTGACGCAGCTACAGGGTCGAGGATGCCACTGCTCGACAAAGTCCAATAGTGTCTGTCTGCTGGACGTGCAAACCGCTGGCGCTTGGACGCCACGCGCTGTCACTCGGTGTGCAGCTGACAGACACCTGACATCAGTGCGTGAGACCATGTGATCGGCCGTCGACGAAGGTGTCGTCCACGTGGGACCAGAACACCCCAATGGGAACCAGCTGCCATAGAGGCCAAGCTGTCCTAAGATGCCTCCCACGTGCTGGACCACAAAAGCGCAACGGCCTCGAGACCGTTGACACTGTTTCGTCGTCTCTGCTGCTGTTGTCGCCTCTCCGACAGCAGCACAATTGACAGAGCTCTTCGTGGTCTTTGCAAGAGAAGGCCAACACTTGACAACGGGAAAGACTGACGTCTGCATATGGATCACCAGTTGACAGGAGCAGGTGCGGCTGCTCCGGTTGCTCCATTTCGGGTCCCTCCTAATGCTGCCACAACAAGGAGCGACTGAACGAATAAGTGAACGCACGATAGGCGGGCGATGCACGCTCAGCTGGTCGAGGAGCGTACGTAACGACTGATCCAGACGACTGACAATCTGTGGCTGCGCTCAAACAGAGTCTTTGCTCGTCGCGAATGCGACTTCGGAGAGCGTTCTTGCGTCCCAAGTGATGAGAGGAGAGGCAAACTCGTGCTCTTGTTGCAGCAATTGTAGTCGACGTTGACAACCGCTTTGCGCTTCCAACTCGGACATTGGACGTTGAGTGGTGTGTGTGTGTGTGTGGCCAACGGTTCGGCAGTCGCTTTTGCGTCAACTCTACTTGTGCGGTCGATCGAGTCCGAAAGCATTTGGAGCACATCGAGATCAGCACATTGACATTCTGCACGAGCGTAAGTGCTTAAGATGCCGAGACATCTACGAGCGGTTGGGGCAGTGCTGAGAACAGCGCGATGCAGTACCTGTGCAGTGGCCCGAGAAGCTCCTGCAGAGCTGTAGCTGTGAAGCTATTCAGCTAAAGCTCTTACCTCAGATCAGTTGCCTATGCAATTGACCACGTCCTGATTGCTATTTTGCTTCGAGAGGTGCCGTCTGATTGGGGCGATAGGATATGCTGCAGACCGGAATGCACTAGTCCGCATGGAGGCAGAGTCAACGGAAAGCTGTTGACGGGCCGGTCATATCTGTGACCGAAAACAAATCATACGGAGGTGAGGCGAGCGCAGCAGCGAAGCAGCGAAGCACAAGAGTCATATCTTGTTGTAGATGAACATTGTCTTGGATTTCAGAGCGCTAGATTATATCCATTGCCGACTCGAGCTGCGTGGGTTTTATCCTACATCTATCGCTAAAATAGCGCCGAGTATTTCCCGTCATCGCGACCGTCGAAAATCAAGTCACGGGCAATCAATCGCCTGCTCTTCGGTCTCGCTATTCGCACCTGGACCACCCACCCACCCCCTCCCGTCCACTGTGTTTTTTCGCCCGTTCACTCGATGTATCCACTTTCCATTACCGTCCGTCGCACGCTCTAATTGCAACGCCCGCGAGCGTCCGCTACTCTAACGCCCGTCCGACGACCGCCCAATTGACGGCATGGCTTCCACCGACCTCGCGGCCTCTGCTGCCAATGGCCGCACCAGTTTCAGCCGCAGCGGCAGCGAGCGGAGCGCCCGGACGGGACTCAAACTGGGCGCTAAGCCGAAGAAGAAGATGACGATAAAGCCCTTTAAAGTCACGCCCAAATTGCCCGAGGCGTTCGAAGAAACGACGTGGAAAACGCTCGAGGACGCAGTGCACGCAGTCCATCGTAAACAGATGACGTCGCTGAGCAGAGAAGAGCTCTATCGCTCGGTCGAAGACATGTGCACGTGGAAAATGGCAACCAGGTGGGTGGTTGTTTATGGGTGTTTCGATGGGTGAATGTGGTTGGTATGGTTCGGGTGGGTGTGGAATGGGTGATTGGGTGGGTTTATGGGTGAATGGGTAGATGTGTTTTAAACTGTTTGGGTGGATGTTTTGGGTGGATGTTTTGGGTGGGTGTGGCGTCTCGATGGGTTGGTGCTGTTGAGTGTGTAGGCTGTACACACGGCTCGAGGAGACATGTGCGGTGCACGTTCGGGAGCGCGTGGAAGAGCTGGCGCAGTACATGGGCGGCAATAAGGATCTGTTCCTCGAAGCCGTGCACCGACTGTGGGAAGACCATTGCGAAGATATGCTGGTGATCCGCACGATTTTCCTCTACTTGGACCGCACGTACGTCATGCAGACGCCGCACGTTGCGTCCATTTGGGACATGGGGCTGAACTTGGTGCGCGATAATTTCGTGCAACGCCAGAGCATGGAGACGATGCTGATTGACTCGCTGCTGGACTTGGTCGAGTCCGAACGCGAGGGCAAGGCGATCAACCGCACGTACCTGTACGCGTTACTGCGGATGTTGCTGTCGTTGCATTTGTACCACGCGGATTTCGAGACGCCGTTTTTGATGGCATCCGAGCGGTTCTACCTGCACGAAGGCGCCACGACGATCGAGTGTATGAGCGTGTCGCAATTTCTCGTGCATGTTGAGAAGCGCCTGCACGACGAAATCGAGCGCGTGAACAACTACCTGGATGCATCGACGAAGAAGCAGCTGATTCTGGTGGTCGAGAGCAAATTGCTGAAACCGCACGTAGCCACGTTGCTAGAGCGCGGGTTTGAATTATTGATGGAAGAAGGCCGAATCGACGACCTGAAGCGGATGTACGCACTCTTCGCCAGGGTCGATGCGATCAACGATCTGAAGACAGCATTTTCGGATTACATTAGGAAGAACGTGTCGAAGCTGGTCATGGACGATAAGCAAGAAAAGGCGTTTGTGGAGAAAGTGCTCAAGCTGAAAGCTGACTTGGACGCGGCACTTAGCGACTCGTTCCAATCGAATGTGGACTTTTCATTTGCAATGAAGTCAGCAATGGAGACTGCGATCAACGTGCGTGCAAACCGTCCGGCTGAGCTTGTGGCAAAATTCGTAGACGCCAAGCTTCGCACCGGCAACAAAGGTGGCACTGAAGCAGAAGTGGAGAGTCTGTTGGACCGTGTAATGTTTATTTTCCGGTACATCCAAGGCAAAGACGTGTTTGAGGCGTTTTACAAGAAAGATCTTGCGAAGCGCCTTCTCGTGGGTAAGAGTGCTTCATTTGACTTGGAAAAGCTGATGCTGTCCAAGCTGAAAACCGAGTGCGGGAGCTCATTTACGAACAAGGTACGTGGAACACATGCATACTAGGCGCTCACACGTATCGTGTTCGTGATGTGATCATGGTGTTATACTGACCGCTATTCTATCTGTTGACAGCTCGAGGGCATGTTCAAAGATATTGACCTGTCGCAAAATGTGATGAGCCAGTTCCAGCAACACGCTGCAAGCAGGTACGATTCTTGGCTCAAATGTAAACACAAACGGCGCCTCATTGTGCGAACGGATGTAGGAACGCGCTGGAGGCTTTGCACGGACATTGTGGTATTCCTGACATGCAAGTCCAAGTTCTCACGACTGGATTCTGGCCACCCTACGCTGCGGTTGAAATCAACTTACCTGCATCGCTGGTCCCGCTCAAAGAGATATTCGACAAGTTTTATTCGTCCAAGTACCAAGGACGTCAGCTTCAGTGGCAGCACTCTCTTGCACAGTGTGTAGTAAAGGCCGCGTTTCCGTCGGGCAAGAAAGAGCTCGTGGTATCGCTCTACCAGACCGTGGTCTTGCTGTGTTTCAACGGAGCGGATTCGCTAGGTTACAAGGAGATCAAGGAACAAACGCGTATCGAGGACGGCGAGCTTCGACGGACGTTGCAATCGCTTGCGTGTGGCAAGACGCGGGTGCTGCAGAAGGTACCCAAGGGCAAAGACGTGAACGACGACGATGTGTTTGTATTCAACAGCCACTTCACGAACCAATTCATTCGCATCAAGATCAACTCCATCCAAATGAAGGAGACAAAGAAGGAGAATGAAGATACGCACGAGCGCGTGTTTCGAGATCGCCAGTACCAGGTGGACGCCGCAATTGTCCGCATCATGAAGGCGCGCAAGAAGTTATCGCATGCGCTACTGATGTCGGAGATCTTCACGCAGGTTCGGTTTCCTGCAAAAGCTGCCGACATCAAGCGCCGTATTGAAAGTCTCATTGACCGAGAGTACCTCGAGCGGGACTCGACCAATGCCCAGATGTACAACTATTTAGCGTGATCCTACTCGCTGATTGCGAAGCCCGATTGAAGAAGTTGCAGCGTTGCTGGCTCAAAGTATTTTCTGGTGGTATCGGACGGTCCTACGCTGCTTCGGAGCGCCCGTTGTGCGCGTAGATTGTAAGTTCGCTCTATTTTGTTGGCAGGTCATTATATAAAAGACATCTTGCGCGCCTCGCGTGTGTTCCGTCATTCGTCCTCGTCACTATGCTCGGTAGAGCCGTCCTCACGAAGCCGGTATTGCAGCAGAACAGGAAAGATTTTACTCACGGCCTTCTCTCCATTTGCGGGGGTCTGTGCACAGTTCCATAACACAGTTACTTCCTGTTAGCGACGCAGTTATGTTCATGTGCAAGCAAGTGCGTGCATACCTTGCATCCCGTGACAACAATTTTCCCGGATATAAAAATTAACAGGGTGCACTTCGGGCGCAACATGCGGTAAATGAGTCCCGGAAACAATTCTGGCTCGTACTAGCACGGACCAAACAAGCAGACAAACTACCTCGTCATCCTCACGCGACAATCAATGCACGAAGAAAGCGTGGGCACGCACCGTGCTGAAGCGGATATGGTCCCGCGCCAAGCCTTCCAAACGTATCTTGAAACATACGTCGGCCGAGCCCACCACGTTGCAAATCGTAAACGGACTGCTCTCACTTGGAAACGATACTTTCTATAACGACCCATACCAGCACCAGCATCAGCACGAGCAGCAAAAGAAGAAGAAGGACACGTGAGAGAGCTGGTCAATGACGAAGAAGAAGAGTGTGCACGGAACCCAACATACCTTTAAGATCGAAACCAACTTCTCCGCCGCGACTTTTGCGTCTTCAACACTTGAGGCTCCGATCACCACAAACTACAGACACCACATCCGTACGCCACACAGCATATGTGATATCCAGTCAGATGCCCACTGTATCAACAGTAGTAGCACAAACACACAAACACACAAACACAAACACACCTTTCCGCTCCGATACACGAGCACTGTCGCGCGGGGCGCTCGGAAGCGCATTATCAGTGCATTGAAACTCTACAGCCGCCACAGAACGTGTCGCAACGATTAGCCCCTTTCAATGCAGTTGTTCCTGTCGCACGACCGCACACGAGTACTACCAATCGAATGAGCGTACGCGTGGAGCGTAGTCGGCATTGCGCACGAGTAGCGCCAGTCGCTGAATGTCAATGCGGTCGTTCACAAAGCCACTGCCCAACACGTTCCTATCGATTAATCGAACAAGAGATTGAGTGAGTGAGTGAGTGAGTGCGAATCAAATGTGCGAGAAGGTCGAGACGGGCACTAGCGACGCACGTACACGACGCGGTAGGCCACGCCTTCCTCTGCGAGTCGCGCGGGCGACCACACGGCGCCGTCTTCTTCGTCTCCACTGCTGCTCCAGTTGCTCACACTCATGCGTCGTGTGTCTCGTCGAGCGATATCATTGGCTGTATATGTGTGCCAGAGTACCGGACTTGCGATTTGTCACAAGCGACTACAGTTTCGTCCGAAAAAAGCGATGAAAAAGGGAGAGCATTGGCTTTTACGGTTAAACAAAACCGTAGCCATTTGTTGTGGTCGTTTGGTGGCTGTGTGTTGAAGTTGCAACAGTCGATCGATCATTGGTGTGTCAAACACCATACTGGTCCGATCCAAATGGCTCTTGTGGTCGAGTTTTTACGTAAAAAGTCCCGCGTCGAAGCGAGAAGGCCCGGAAGAGCTCGAGCGCGTCAGTACCGGATACCGCCTGCCCCGACCCTTGAGCTATGATTGCCCTCCGTCGAGTCGCTGCCGCCACCGCCGCCGTCCCGAAACGCGCTTTCGCTCTGCCACTGCAGCTCATGGGTTACGCGGACATGCACGAGAAGGAAAAGGCTCTGGAAGCCGCGTTCTTCAAGTACGATCTTTCAAACTCTAAGGTCGTAGACAAGATCCTCACGTGAACATCTGGTCGTTATTGGTTGTTGTTGTCGGTGGTGGTGTTGTTGTTGTTGACCTGATCCAGTAAACAGGACGAAAAGGCGCTGCGCAAGCTACTGCAGAAGATGAAGGGGCAGACAGACGCTGCGGACAAGGATGGCTACAAGGACCACGTGGAACACGACGTGAAGGGGCTCAAGAAGATCCCCGGCCTCAACTTGAACGACGAACAGGTTCAGGCGCTACTCAAGTGGAAGCACCAGCAGTAGTAGAAAGCAGAGACGAGCGCTGTACATTGCGTTGTCAGCAACGTCCTCTCCTCTGACTTTCCATGAAAAAGCTTTGCCGCCTCGTTGCACTATTGTCTCTGGCGTTCGCTCGCTTGCTCACCGCTCTCTCTCCCCAATCCAATAAACTTTCTTCTGCACCGGGTACAGGAAAACTCACTTCAATCGCATGAGCTGACAATGGGTTCACTTGATAGTTCGTGCGTCTCGAGCGTGATGGCGATCGTACAGCAGACTCCTGTGTTCGAGGTGCTGTACGGCGATGCGCCTCGAGGCCTCTTTTACATTCGCAGCAGCTGAGGTGCACGGAAGCACGACGCGGCGGACTCAACAGAAGCAGCGGGTCCGTTCAACAAAACGCCACAGAAGCCAACTAGTGCATCTGCGCTCATGTCGAACCAGGTGTGATCATTGCAAGTGTCACGTACTTGGCAACTCGTATGGCATTTGGCTAGCATTGGTCGAACCAGATCTACGAGAGCCAGTGAATCGTGCGACCATCAACTCGACTCGAGCGCAGCGATTTTCGCATTGACCTTGTCCAGCTCCAAGACGATGTCAGCACGCTGCTTGCTCGCAGCTTCGAGCATTTGCTTGAACCGATTCTAACGAACATCATCGCCGGTAAAGTAAAGTAGCGACGTCAGCAAATGGCACAAGAATGAATGGAGTACGACAAGATGGAACTCACCTTGACGACAATGTTCGAGTTTGCGTCGACCTTGGCGGTGAACCCACTCATGTCGCGGTCTAGATCTCGCACCGACTTCTGTAAGCGCTCGCGCATGGGCAATAGCTTGAGGTAATCTGCGTCCGTCAAGTATGCCTTCTCTTGAGGCGGCAAAGCCGGTTTGGTGTCCAAATCATTGAGAATATCCTCCTCCAGCATGTCCACCTCCTTATCTTCGTCTTGGTCATACCTGGATGATGGATACAGCTGCATGGGCGAAAGCTTGGGACTTGGTGTTGGCGCGAAGGACGGAGAACGCTGCACGCTAAGCCGTCCATCCGTCTGGGACTCGGTCCCAGATCCTGCATCCGTTGCAAGTGGCGTGTTCATGACCGACGTGTTGGCCGTGCTAGGTACCGCGGCGTTCTCTTCCATCAATGGCATCGCTCTCATCTGCTTCATTGGCGGTTCTTCCGACAGAGTAAGGTACTCCGGATGCTCGCGAATAAGCGCCATCTCGTCCGTGATAGTGATTCCATTCGGATGCTCGTCGTCAGCCATCCAGTCATAAAAGTCAACTAGCTCCTCGTGGACATCTTCGACAGCTCCACCTGCAATGATCTTTACCAAATCTTCTTCCACGCGAGCAACGTCAGCTTTCTACCAGCAAAGAAAGGAACACAAACAAGAAAGATACGCCACGAAAGAGTCAGTAGTGCCTTCAACAGTACAAGCAGCCATTACGTGATACCCTGACGTACGGGAAACGGAGTGGTCTTCTTGGTTTTCTCGTATTTGCGTTTGATCACATTTGTGTTTGGCGGTGTGAGGCCGCTTTGGACCTCCTCTTGTGTCTCCAGTAGCTTCTTTTCCTCTTCTTTTTCCGTCACGACAAAGATCTGCGCATCCGACAGGCAAAAGAAATGCATACACATACATACATACATACATCCACCAACACCGCGTGCAAAAGTCAGCACGTTCCAAACTGACCAGTCGCCCCGTCAGTTTTGCACCTGTCCGATCTCGCCGCTCTTGTAGAAGAAATTGTCGTCGTACGTCTTGTGCGTCTCGACAATACACGGCAATTGCGCTGCCGCGTGTGTCGCCCATACCATACATCAGCACAGAAATGAGGGAGTCAAAGCCTGCCGTCTCTATGCCTTACACTGGAAAAAAGACTCGCACGAACGCCTCATGAAACGCCGTGAGGAGCGCACCGATCTTGGCCGGATACTCTTTGCCGTTCACGTGCAGTGTAAAGTGCTTGTTGTCCGCTGCGGTTTCCGCCAGTCAGTCAGTCAGTCCATCGTCGCACATACACAGACGTTCTGTTACTACTGAGCTCGTGTCTCCAGTGCATGTTACCCGCCCCCCAACCTCTCTCTCTACCGACACATCAGCACATCCACAACGCACCTCCTGATACCATATCGACCTGTGCCGACTCGCCATGGGCAATGCCGGCGCGTACCTCGTGCGCCAGCCGCTTTGGTAGCTGCAGCAGGTACTGCTCCATGCCGTAAACGAATGGGGTGACGACGCAATCGCGTGGATCCGTTCTCGCTTTTGATTGGCCGTTTTGTTTCTTCCACGCAATCGACCATCACTCCTGCTCGCCAAAAAATGCGCAATGGGTGCGCATTCTCGTTTTTGCCGGCACCGACCGACGTCTGCAGTTCATCACTCGAGTGGAAATGACGGGCACGTTGCGCGTGGCGGCCGACCCGCCGCTGCGGTCGAGCGAGGAGAAGCAGCCGCTGCTCACCGCGTCGTCGCGTGGCCAGGAGCCTCCTCGTCGGGCCTCGGGCCTCGGCGACCGGTACCCGTCCCAAGACGCCACGTGCTGGTCGTCTGCCATGTTCACGTGGGTGACGCCGATCATGAAGCTTGGCAGCCAGCGCCCGCTCGAGCACGACGACCTGTACCTGTTGGACCCTGCGAACCGCGCGCGCCAAGTGTCGACGACGTTCCAGGAGGCGTGGAAGAAGCAGTGCCGTACGGCTCGTGGCCGGCCGAGTCTCGCGTGGGTGCTGGCGTCGTGCTTTGGCGGACAGATTGCCAAGGCGGGCCTGCTGAAGCTCGTGCATGACTCGCTGCAGTTCATCGGACCCATGCTGATCAAGGCGATCATTGCGTACTTGCAGGACCCTGACGCGCCGTTGAGCGAGGGACTCGTGTACGCCGCGATTGTGTTTGTGTCGGGCGTCGCCCAGTCGTTCTTGCTGCGGAACTACTTTTTCCACTGCTTTGAAGCCGGTATGCGGATCCGGTCAGCTGTCTGCACGGCAGTGTACAACAAGAGCCTCGTGCTGTCGGCTGCGGCGAGACAGAAGAAGACGACGGGCGAGATTACGAACCTCATGTCGGTTGATGCGCAACGACTGCAGGAACTGTCAACGTATGTCAATAGCGTCTGGTTCTCTTTTTTCCAGATCACCGTGGCGTGCTACTTGCTGTGGCAGCAGATCGGGCCCGCGACGCTTGCCGGTGTTGCAGTGATTGTTCTGATGCTGCCGCTCACGGCGGGGTTCTCGAAACTCATGCGGCGTCTGCAGTTGGCATTGATGGAGGTGAAAGACGAGCGCATTAAAGTTTGCAATGAAGTGCTGGCCGGCATGAAGGTCATCAAGCTGCAGGCTTGGGAACACTCGTTCACGAAACGTGTGCTGGAATATCGCGCAGAAGAGCTCAGCAAGCTTCGCACGTACATCTACGCTCGTAGTGGATCTATGACTCTCTTCTCGGCGATGCCCTCGGTGGTGGTTGTGGCATCGTTCTACGCGTACGTCAAGCTGGGCAACACGTTGGAGGTGGGCACTGCTCTCACGTCGCTAGCACTGTTTAATATCTTGCAATTCCCGTTGTTCATGCTACCTCAAGTACTGAATTCAATCGTCGAGGCAAGTGTGAGTGTTGATCGCTTGAGCTCGTACTTCCAGGAAGAAGAACGCGAAGAGGTTCGACCTGGCGATCTAGACCGCGTCGGTATTCGCGTGAGCAAGGCTGACTTCATGTGGGATACAGCACCGAGTACTGCTGCACCGGATACATTGTCACGTACACAGGAAGAAGCGAAGTTGCTAGGGGAAGACTTAGTCGTGGACCAGGACGCGTCGGGACGTGGCAACAGTGCGCCTGTTCTACGAAATGTGAACTTGGAGGCTCAATCGGGTGAACGTATTGCTATTGTTGGTCACGTGGGCGCCGGTAAGTCTACGCTTCTAAGTGGGATTCTCGGTGACGCTCGATGTAGCCGTGGTGGGGTAAGCCTTCGTGGATCTGTGGCCTATGTGTCGCAACAGCCATTCATTCAAAACGCGACACTTCGTGAAAACATTTGCTTCGGCTTACCGTTTGACGAAGGGAAGTATGCTGAGGCAATTAAGGCCAGCTCGATGCGAAAGGATCTAGCTGCGCTGCCTGGTGGGGACCTTACGGAGATTGGCGAAAAGGGAATCAATCTCAGTGGTGGACAACGTACTCGCGTAGCGCTTGCCCGTGCAGTATACCAGGACGCCGACATTTACCTGCTTGATGATATCTTGTCGGCTGTGGACAGCCACGTCGGGTATGACATTTTCAACGAATGCATAAAGGAATGCCTGAAGCATAAGCTCGTGCTGCTAGTCACGCATGGTCTGACGTTCCTTACCGAGTGTGACAAGATTCTGGTGCTCGAAAACGGCGCGATCGTGGAGGAGGGCACTTACGAGCACCTTGTGACGAAGGAAGGCGGACTTCTGATGGACCTTATCGCCAAATACAAATTCCAAGAGCAGAAGGAGCCAAACGCGGTTGAAGAGGTTACTGTCACTTTGCTGGATGAGCTGGAGGAGGACGAAGAGGACAACCCCACACCCGAACGTCTGGGTAGGAGACTGAGCCGCGTGTCTGTGCGGAGCGAACGATCGACGAGCGAAGGAGATGTGAATACTCAACTAATCGTTGACGAGGACCGTTCCGTGGGCGATGTTGTGTGGCCGGTGTACAAGACATGGATTGTGGCATTTGGCGGAATGGCTGCTGGTCTGCTAGTGATTGTCATATTCATTGGTACTCAATTCGTGAATTTGCTGTCGACGTGGTGGATTTCGTTTTGGTCAGAAGACTCCACGAAGAATAGTGGCCAGTCAAAGCACCGATCGCAGATGTTCTACGTGTATGTATACATGGGCCTCAATGGAGTATACGCTGTGGCGCTGTACGTTCGTACCCTCGCTATATACAGAGGAGGTCTTCGTGCGAGTCGGGTGTTGTTTCAAGACTTGCTGGCTCGCATCCTGCGTGCTCCGACTTCCTTTTTTGACACAACACCCACGGGCCGTATTGTAAATCGTCTGTCGAAAGACGTGTACACTCTTGATGAGAGCATTCCTGCTACGTGGAGCATGCTTCTTAACACTGTCGTGGGAGTGCTGATGACATTGGCCACTATTTCGTACGTAACTCCGATTTTCATGGTGGTGCTGCTGCCTCTCGTAGTCGGCTACTACTTTTCGCAGCGATACTTTATCAGTTCTTCGCGTGAGCTACAGCGTTTGGACTCCATCAGCCGTTCTCCTGTATTCAGTCTACTGTCAGAGACTCTTGACGGCTTACCAACTATCCGTGCGTATCATGCAGAACCCCAGTTCAGCAGGAAGAACGAAGAGTTGATCGACCGCAATCAGCGTGCTTATTACTTGAACTTTGCGGTGAACTGCTGGTTGGCGCTTCGTCTCGAGTTTGCCGGGACACTGATTGCAGCTTTCGCCGCGCTAAGTGCTGTCCTGGCCCATAGTTCGGATCCGGAGCGTGGGGCTAGTTTTGCTGGACTTGCAGGTGTATCCCTTACGTACGCATTCAGTGTCACGCAAGCGCTCAATTGGTCTGTGCGCATGCTTAGTCAGTTGCAGACGCAGATGGTTTCTGTCGAACGTATCAAGAACTACACGATAATGGACACGGAGGCCGAGCTCACTAGCGTGGGCAAGCTTCCTCCTGCTCAGGAATGGCCCTCGGCAGGTGCTTTGGAATTCCGCGGTGTAAATTTGCGCTATCGCCCAGGCCTGCCTCGTGTGTTGCGCAACTTGTCTTTCTCTATTCGTCCGCAGGAGAAGATTGGCATTGTGGGTCGTACGGGTGCCGGAAAGTCAAGCCTCGTTGTGGCTTTGATGCGCCTCGTCGAGCTGGACAGTGGCTCCATTGTCATTGACGGACTGGACATTAGCACCATTGGATTGCACGAGCTGCGCAGCAAGATTTCGATCATTCCGCAGGACCCGGTTTTATTTTCAGGCACTGTGCGTAGCAACGTTGATCCATTTGGCCAGTATACGGACGAGCAGATATGGACGTCTGTACGTCGTGCCCATCTCGCACACGTGGTAACTGCACTCGATGGTGCTGTCGACGAAAAGGGCTCGAATTTCAGCGTCGGAGAGCGTCAGTTGCTGTGCATTGCACGCGCCCTGCTCAAACGCTCGCGCATCATTCTCATGGACGAGGCGACAGCCTCTATCGACACTGAAACCGACCGCAAAATCCAACGCAGCATTCGCGAGGAGTTCCGCAACTGCACATGCCTCACAATCGCACACCGCATCAACACTATTCTTGATGCGGATCGCATCCTTGTCATGGAGCGTGGTTCTGTTGGCGAGTTCGACACGCCGCAGGCGCTCCAAATGAAGCAGGATGGGCTTTTCAAGGCACTCGTGGGGCACTGGAAGAACGAGAACAAGTAGTCGGGGCTCGATGAAACAGGGGACATTTTGTTGAGTCGGAAACGTTCTTCCCTCTTACTTAGACTGAAAGAGTCGAGCAATCGGACCGTAATGGATTCGTGGTTCTTTGGGATGGACACGCTGACAGGGACCGATAACTTCTGCGGTTTCAACTACAGAGATGAAACTACTGTGCGCACGTGTCTTGACTCTCTCTACTTTTCCAGGCGCTGTCTCTCTTTTTACAGGAACATAAGGCAGCGCCCGCCTGGAGCGGTGCTTGCATAAAAGCACGACGTAAAACATGGCAGTACTCATTACGCGATCGCGTCGCCTGTGCGCGCTGCTGCAACGCAATTGGGCGGCGTCGTCACGCACCAACTGACGATCACGCTCTGTGCACAGGTGAGCACATTTGAGCTACTACTACCCAATGCCTACTGCATTCCACTGGAACCGAAGCGAACGAGCAGCTTCAGCGCGATCGTGTGTGCTCGAGCGACGTGTACGTCGTGGTAGTGTTGGTGGTACCTGATTGAGGGATGGGAAACCGCAACGCAGCGATGAACGTTAGTGTGCATGTTCGTGTGAAGCAGTGCACGCACGTCATTCGCATGAGAAACAATCGACTCGAGCTGTTGACGATGCGACAGGCAGCCGTGGGTGATACCACTCCACCACATGTATTGCACTTGGTGGACCGGTTGTAGGATGATGTGGGCGAAGCTGTCATCGCATCCACGTGCCGATCCCGACTTCGAGTCGACTAGGAATGCTGCAGTGTGCATTGCAGCTGCGGTCGATTCACGCGGCTGTATCCGCTAGCTTGTGGGCATCATTTTCTGACCATGACAGTAGACGATCCGAACTTTTCTCAACCTACGGCTGTACCGACAGCCACAGATAAAAGAGGGTTTAGCTCCATGAGCTGGGTAGACAAGCACCGGCACCAGTGCTGAAACTTGCATCCGACCCATTGCTGAAGCACAGCAGAATGAGAAGATTGATGGGAGTACAAGAACGTCAACAACGCGCGCAGTCGATCAAAGAGTCAAAAGAGACATAAGGAGATGACAAGATGCCATTGTTGGGACTACAATTGACTGCCTCGATTGTTGTTGACGCGATTGACAGCGAAAGATTTCTAGTTTATGATGCATCTGATGAGCAAGAGATAAGTTGATGAGAATGGAGCTCATAGTTGTGTGGTCAAAAACAGCAGAAGTAGTTACGATGATGCAATGCTTTGATTAGATATTTTACATACATCAGCATCAACGGATGAAGTGCTCTTTGCCACATTCAATATACAGACCATTTCGCTGGATAGCTGGTTGATGACTGAGATGATCATGAGCGTGCTCCGTATTAGGATACTACAATAACATCCTTGCCATATTTATTATCTTTTATAGTTGGCGCGCCTGATAATGGTCATAGCTATCTCGATATGAGGCCATAAAACAGACAAAAGCGAGTGACAAAGAACTAACAAGACGAATGGAAGCGACCAATAAATGATGGAGAAGAAGTTTGACAAACCTGAACGAGCAAAGTGTTTGGCGGTGAATATTACATGAAGGAAGCTATGTTACCAAGCTGGTAGCTAGAATTGCAACTATTAAACACTGTAACAACGAATGGGGCCACCCTAAGATCCCATGATCGTGTTGGAAGGGGGATTTGCGCTAGACGAGAAATGAGGCAAGAGGCGGCTGACGACACTGTTACTGTAGGCAAGATGCGTGTTGCGAGAAGGAAGCGGTAGGTGACAATGAGATTCTGTATTGATTCTTACTTGTGCTCAATTCTCTGCCGTGCTCGCCAAAGCCCTCTGCTCCAGTCATCTATCTAGCACGCATTCTGACTCTACCCGAATACAATCAATCTTCTGCTTGTCACTCTGCGTCCAACTTTTGCGCACAGCGAGTTTATGACATCATGGTCCTAAATAAACCCCAAGTCACCGGCCGACCACCCCGATCGCCTTTTCGTGCCCTCACACTCATTTCCAACATTTCCAACACTCCTCCTCGGTCGTGACTTGCCCTTGCCTCCGTTCCCATATCTTGAGCTTGCATTTGTCCTTGTCCTTGTGCTCCTCCATCCTTGAGCTCCTTGGTCACCCTTGATCGTCCTTGATCTTTTCTTTCCCGATGCGCACGAGAGCGCGCAGTGTCGAGAGCTTCGTCGCGTCCAACGCCTTTGTGAATAGGTCTGCGAGCATCTGCTCCGACCTGACGTAGATCGACGCGATGATGCCGCGACGCGAGTAGTCGCAGAGGAACACGTCCACGTGTTTCGCCTTCAGCGACGATACATCGCCCCCGATCTGCGCGATCGCCGATTATTTGTCCACCCGCAACTGTATAGGGAGCGCGGGCTCCACGCCCACTTTGCGCAACATCTCGCGCAGGCAGAGCAGCTCGCGCGCGACCTCACTCGCCGCGAAAAGCTCCGCCTCCATCGTCGACAGGGAGACGACTCCCTGATTCCGCGCACCCCAGCTGACGGCCATCCCATTCAACATCACGATGCCGCCCGTCGTTGACTTCCCGTCCGTCTTGTCGGCGGCAAAATTGGCTTCGCTAAACGCTTCCAGGCGCATCGCCACACTCGGGTTGTCTTCTTGAATCATCGCGACCTTATGCGCCGCCGTAACCTTGAGGTATCGCGCGACACGTTTCGCCAGCTTCTAGTATGCCAGTCTAGGCGCGTGTGCTTGTCTCGTGACCTTGTGAACCGCAAACACTATGTCGGGGCGCGTGCAACGCGCCACCCAAAGCAGCGAGCCGACCATCGACTGGAACTGGCGTACTCTCTGTCATGGTCGCGCGCTTGGCGTCCCAAGAAGACCCGCGTCGCTCTCATCCAGCTCGTAGCAGCTGTCGTCGATCGGCTTCCACGTTGAGCTGGCGTCGGCGAGCCCGTTGTCACGCAGAAGGTCTCCGATGTCCCCCTCCTGATTGAGCGTGTACCCGCGCTGACCGTCGTGCGTCACGCGCATGCCGAGAAACTTGCTGACACGCCCCAGGTCCTTTATCGACAACGACGCGAGGATTTCGAAGAACCGCTCGACCGCCGCCGCGCTCGTCCCTGTCGCGAGGAGATCGTTGACATACACGCCGACCACGACGAATTTGTCGCCGCTGCGCATCCAGTTGAAGCACATAACGCTCTCGCACCGCGTTAAACCGGTAGCGGCGAGCTTCGAGTGAAGCAGCTAGCTCCACAGCCGGCCTGCCTGCTCGAGCCCATACAAGCTCTTACGCAGCTCCAAAACCAGCTCGCTCGCGTTCGCAACGTCTTGCGCTCGCAGCGTCTCCACCGAGACCGGCATACCGCGCGGCATCTGTATGAAGATGCAGAGGTGCGGCTCCTTGTCCGCTTTGGTGTAGGCGTTGGGGATGTCGCCGTGTTCGGCAGGAACCACCCTAGCGGTAGGATTACTTTGACCGTCGACAGGTTCATCACGGCAGCGGAGGTTATCGTGTAGTCGGCGCCGAGCACCTGCTCGTTGCCACACGCCACCAATCGCGTCTTCATCCGCACGAGGTCTCCCTGCTCATCCGTCTTAGTCATCTAGACCCATTTAATGTGAAGCTCGTGCGTCCCTGGCGCTCGCTTTGTAATCGTATAGACGTCGTTGGCCTCGAGCACGGCGATACCCTCTTGCATCGCCTTCTCCCACCCGTCGCGCTTTCCGCTGCGCATCGCCGGTCCGTAGTTGAGCGGATTGTGCTCGAAAGTAGGGCTCACGACCTCTCCGCTCGCGGCCACCTCCTACTGACGAGCAGCTGCATCTGCGCGTTTCGACGCGCGGCGTGTTCCATGCGCCGCTCACGTCCATCGCTTTCCACTCTTCTTCCGCGTCGCGCTGTTGCCCTCTGAGCGACCATTGTTCGCCGCGGATGCTGCTGGCGCGTCCGGCTCATCCAGGTGTCCGGCTCGATCTCTGCGTCCATCGCGCGCTCGAGTTGCGCTTTGGTGTGCCTCTGTCAGCGTCTCGATGTTCTTGATGCGCTGCGTGAAGACCACTTAGTTGTCACGCGGTATCAACACCTTGTAGCCCTTGGTTTTCTCACTAGATCCGACAATAATGGCGCGTTTCGAGCGCTGCAACAGCGAGTTTCTGCGCGGGTCCCTGTACGCGCTGCACAGGGAGCCGAAGACGACGATTCCGCGTAGATCTGGCGTCTTGCACGTCAGCACCTCGATTAGTGACGCTCTCTTTGCGTTTTCTTGCGTGGGGCTCCGGTTGAGGATGTGTACGGAGTCTTGCACCGCGTCTCCTCAGAACGTCAGCGGCAGCGCGCAGGCAAACATTATGCTGCACGCGAGGTTCAGCACTGTCCGGTGCATTCGTTACGCATTGCCGTTTAAAGCTTGGTTACGCCTCCTCCGACACTTGACACGCGACGCCCGTGCGCTCGCATAACAGGTCCATGTTGACGTATTCGCCGCCGCTGTCCGTACGGAGCACGTGGATCTCAAAACCCGAAAAGCTTTTCGAAGTGAAGGAGGAACGCCTCGAACTGCTTCTCCGCAGCCTCCTTCTTGCGCGCGAGGAAGACTCGGTAGTAGTTGCTCTTGTGATTAATGAAGTTCACAAGGTAACGATTGCCGAGTCGATCCTGCGGCGTCATGGGACCCTTCAGGTCCGAGCAGATGACGCCGTATATGCGATAGATGAGCGAGTGCGCGCTAATGTCTTGTTGCGACTGCGCGTTGCTCTTCTGCCTGTCCTCGAGGCACGACACGCACGCCATTCGTTTGTTGCTACTCAGCCAAATGCCCGATGCCCGATGCCGGGTCGTGCGCCGTGCGTTCGATCGTGTCGAACGCAAGGTGACCGAGTCGCTGGTGCCAGTGCAACAGCGAGGCTTCGTGCGGCTCGTCGGAGTTAATTTCAGTTGAATACGCTTCGAGCGCCGCCATGATCTCGTCTCCACCTGCACCCTCTTTGTCGCGCGTGCTCGTCGTCACGACATACAGAACGTTGCTGTCGATCGCGACATCGA